CAGCTAAAACAAGACACTCATAAGCATGGTCAAATCAGAATGCATTTCTAAACAATCTTTTATCATCGTGTGCATAGCTTGTTAAAGGAAATGGCAGAAACTCTGTACCTTAAGCAGGAGGATCTGCTTTTTATGTTGTCTGCAAATGGATCCCGCCACTCTTTCCATACATTCTTCAGTTCAACCACAAAATATCATCACTTTAGATACAAAGTATATTCATAGAACCTTCATAGCATAAGTGCTGAATGGTCCTCCCCGCTCCCAAATGCTACCACCTGTGGCAGATCATGTGAATGACCAACGTCACAACCATCACCAGCAAAACCACCAATGAGATCTGCACACAACGACATTTAGTGAAGAAATGCAAATCCAAAGATTCTAATGCTCTGATCCCTTATTTTGGTTTGGTTGCTGATGGTCTACTCGTCAAATGTGGGAGCAGTGGATCAGTGTGATGAACTATGCTTCTTATAAAACAGCTTTTAGAAAGAAACAGCTCTGTGTTGTATTTGGCTGCCTCCTAACAAGTGTGATGGCAAAGCTGCTAAAGATACCACAGCTTCCCAAAGCACACTGTATGAAAACCTCTCCAACTGTATGTGTGTTATTACTTCCAGCCATTCCTAAACTGCATCAAAGGACGCACATCTGGGGATGTCTCACCGAGAGTGTTGCAAAGACAAATATTTTGATCAGAAGAAATCTTTGTCCAAACCTCTGATGACAGATAGCAAAACAGCAGCCTCTGAAATCAACAACTCAGGGTAAAAAATGGTTGCGGCAGACAAACACAAAAGTGGTTCTGAGACATAAATCACATAATCTGAACAGAGAATGACACGCGTGTTTGTGCACCTTCCCGATGAAGTCATTGTACGAAGCTGTTCTTCAGCTCCCCAGGCAGGCAAAAATGCGCACGGATAGAAAGGGTGTGAGCTTTACCTAATGTGATGAAGCTACAGAAGTGACGAATAACCCTCGTGTTGATGCAGTCAGTGAGGAGATGCTGTCAGACCATAAGCACAGCCAGGAGATTTGCCAGTGTTCAAAGACGCTGCATTCTCTACCTTCCGCTTCCTGCCTCAGGCTCCTGGCACACACACCTCCTCCAAAGCCATCTTTCATTGCAGCCCGGAAAGCACATTTTTCTCCTCCTTCTCCTATTCACCTTAAAAGTCCTCCAGATTTCCAGGGATGATTTTCAGCTCCATCTCTCCCTTATCAGAGAGGCTAGCTTTGTGCACATCCATTTATTAACATACAGGTTAATGTGCTGGACTGTGATTATCACGTTCATCTGTCTTGGGAAATTCTTTGCAGCTGCAGTGGCTGATTGCAGCCATCATACACTTGGGCTTCATCTTTTTTGCATGTTTGCTTCCTGTTGTGGATATAGACAACAAAATACTGCACATGCATGGTTTATATGGATCAGCAGATTGGCATTAGATTAACTCCTGCTTTTACAGATTAGTTCCACGAGCTCAGATTTCATCTCTGTTCTGCAACACCTCCAAAAGATCTGCAGTTAAAGTTCTGGGAGAAAAATCAGCAACTTACAGAATCAGAGAATCATGAATTTCTCAAATACGTCATAACAGATGAACAAAAAAATGAAGGTAGAAGTGAGATGCACTGAAGCCATGACAAATGCAAACAATAAAACCACAAAGAAGCATCAGGAAAGCTACTCCAGCCATGCCCTGCAATGGCTGCAGTGCTATGACTTTGGTAAGTGGTACAGCAAGTTCACATTGATATTTTTACTAATGTAAGCAATTCTGCTTGGGCCAGCAAGCCTGCACATGTTAGCAACCTGCCAGGGGTGTTTTCATCTAAGAGATCATGGTCTAATCTTTTGCACACAGGCAAGAGAGTAATTGGAGCATTGTTCATATTGTTCACAGGATAAGAGCTCTTCTGATTCAACCCTGATGCTTGAACTGCACCATCTCTCAGGAGACAAGAGGAAAGACACAAAGATTATAGTGTGGGTAAAGGGCCTTCAAAATTACAATAGAGAGAAAGGATTTTTTCACGTTAAGCAACTAAGCTCATTTCTGCTGAAAAAAATCCACTCCTGCTAAAGGCTAACATTACGCATGTAGAAAACACAAACCTGAACAGAATCTCCTGTGACACAGAAAGGCAGAAACCCTTCAGTTCTCAAGCAAAGCCAGCTTTGGTCCTGCTCTGGCGAGGGGTGGAGACCGAGCAACCCCATTTTTATCTCCAATGTTTGCTCTCCTGTAATTCATCAGTACCTCTGCACTGTGTTCACATCACTTTGCAAATGCTCCACAACACGGATTGGTCTTTAAGACAGCAGAGAAAACTCAAGTGGAAACTGCCTAGATATGCTTGACACCTCGTTTGCAGGCTGCTTGTCATGTTGGATTAACAGTGCAATGGCAGATCTACTGTGGAACAAATTCCTTATAAATATGGATTCATCAAACTGAAATGTCTAGGTAATAAAGATGGCTGAGAGACACAAACCCACAAGCAGAATCATGTTTCAGATACTGCAAAAATCAGCCGCTCTGATAGAATATAACATCTTCATAAATCTCCAACACGAGAAATAAGCATTTAAATAATACTGCAGAGGACAAAAGAAGCGTTAGAAGACGCAAATGAATGAGAATCACAGACACATCAACACTGCATTTTATTACTGCACTACATTTTCAGGTTGCATAAATAATCGTACACATACTCTGTGGCTGCACTAAGCCACCGTGACAACTATGACCTTATTGTGGCAACAAAATGACAAGAAATCCCTGGAGATCTAGCAATATTTTGACACCACAATCCTGCAGCTATCTCCACAAGCAATTAAATGAAAATGCTGCCCTGCCTCCTGCTACATCCCAGAGCTGCAGCAGGCAGTTCATCCTGCCTAAGAAAACACTGAACATGTATAACCAGTGGCTGACAGCTGCCAATCAGCCCCAGCTTAGTCCGTGCAGCTTCCTGAAGCGGTCCAGATAGACTTGCAAGAAAAATGCTATCCTGTATTCCTCCAAAGATGTTAAAAAAATCGTTCCACATGGGTTAATTTTCCTGAAATGGATTCTTATATTCCTTCATGAGGGAAAACAAAATAACAAGTAGAGCTGTGGAAGACGCCAGATTGCTTTCTATGCCAGCCCTTCTTGTAACCCCAGCACGTGCACAGAAACTGGGACATGCTGCACTGAGCCTGGCAGCAGCCACCAGGAACATCCCAGAGGGGAAACACGCAGGTGAGGCTGACCAGCCTGCTGCTCACAGGGACTTGCTTGGCTGGCAGCATGGGGAGGCTCACAGCCCACTAAAATGAGCTGGTGATGCCATATAAAAAAGCCCTGGGAAGAGAACAAGAAGAATGCAGGCGTTTCCCAGGGAGTAAAGGAAAAAGAGTCGCTAAAACAGACAACCTTGGATTAAGTGTATAAAGGAATAATAAGTGAAATCAGGAGTGACGTAGAAGAGAGCAGCGAAGAAGCAGCATACAGGACAGAAAGAAGAACAGAGGAACGCAAGAGTAAAAGAGGCTGCAGAAAGAACTGCCAGAAAACAGTGCTTCTGTTTTTCATGGTGCTACAGTAGTGCCATGGTAAAGACAGTGGGAGTATTTCTGATCCAGGAGCAGCTTCACTTGAGGCCCACTTTCCTGCTTCTGCCTCTGCCTACCAAGGGCCATGCAAAAGGTGAAAGCTACAGCTACGTTTGGTCCTTCTTATGGAAGTGCAACCCCTGCTTTGTGACAGCCACTTCCCCAGGATGCTCAAACAAGTACTGTGGCAACCAAAGGATGCACCGTGCTGGAATGGAACGTGCGGGAACTGATCTTAACTCCCTTACTCAGGGTTTTACCTCTTCTCGTCACGCTTGTCTACTGCAAGCAAAACTACTTTCTGAAAGTCTTAAATCATGTGGTCATCAAAAAAAGCAGCGCCTCAAACTTCTGCCTGGAGGCCTATGCTATAGCATTTGTAGGCTCAATCAGAAGGTAAAGTTTGCTGATTGTCAGACAGCCATTTAAATTTCATTTGCTCATCTGTACCAGAAGCATCCAACGCTAACACATTTTTAGCAAACAGCAATCATTTGCTTTGCTTTACAAAGGTCATCAGACATCAGTTTAAATCTCCCACTGCTGCCCATTTGCCAAATTCTGCTTTCAGAAGACTCATTTCAAAATGTGTTCAGCTTTATTTCTTATAATGAGCAGTCAGGAGCCTTGTTTTACTCTAGAAAAGTATACTAAAAAGGTATATGCTTTTATAAGAACATCAAGCTGTTTTCCTTTACTACATCAAGGTAACAACTTGTTCTTATCTTGCAGCAGGAGTTGCGATGTAACAGCAAGCGATACCTTGTCTAATTCAACAAGGGCAGAGGTATGTGGATTGTGAGTCTCACTGATACATGGACATTTCCAACGTTCAAAGGGGAAAATGTGATTTAAGTACTGCCAAATTGCTCAATTACAGATATTTCTTGCATGTCTGACCTAAGAGGACTGACTGCTGAAATGCAGACTTAACCAAACCACCACAGTTTCCTCTACAAGCCATCCATCCAGAGTAGAAGGACAAGAGGAGATGTGGATTTATGAGTCGTGACACAAGATTATAGATCTTTGGTCTCGTTTTATGATTTGGAAAACATTCAAGCAGGGAGTTTCTCAGACAAAGTAGCTATTGGTACTTTAATCATGTGTTCCAGTGTAACGGAGCAGAAGCAACAATTGTTTCCCTGCCTTAATATATGCTTATCTTTTTTGTTTGGTGCCAGCAGCTGCAGCAACAAAGCACGTAGCCAAATCTGCAGAATACTGAAAATGCAGCTGTGATTTAAAAGTCAGGTTTTTTGCACAGAAGGGAGATGGCACCTGAGGCAGGGAGAAAGAAGAGTAGCTGAGGAGGAATGACAGGTCTGAGGAAAGAGGAGTGAGAAAAACCTGAGATAAAACCAGAGCCAAGGAGGCCAGCTCTGCATACCAGGGCACTGAAGTAACTAAGGAACCACGAATGCTGAAGGGAAGCTTCCAGTATTCAGCAACTCCACATGGAGGGCTCTTCAAACTGTATTCGGCTTCAGTTGCATCACTTTCCTTCACAACTATTCACTGCTTTCAGGGTCCAGCAGAAATCCAGCGTGGAGCCAAAAACAGATGGGAGAACGTTTAACAGCGAGCAGATTGACTCAGGGCCAGGAGAAAGCCCAAAGGCAGCGGTGATCCAGAGATGAGGCACACAAGGCTACAGGTTGAAAGTGCTCAGAGAACCGTGCTTCAGGTGGCTGCTTCAACAGGCTCCTATGGATGCTGTAGGAAAAGATCAAATAATGGTTATAAGCAGTTTGCAGTGGGTTTAAGAATGGTGAGGGAAGGAGGCAGCAGGGGAAGGTTGGTTGTTTTATTTGCTCAACCATAAAATATTTCTCAGTTCCATCTACAGTTAGAATCGTACCAAACACTTTGGTGTCACAGAAACATATATTTGAGATAGTATGGCTTCAATTTATCCAGTATGTGTAACAGTGGTAAGGAGTTGGACTTTGGACATGTAATCATTTTGTTAGGTGAAATGAACTCCTCAAAACAGTGGGGCAAAGCAAAAATACACAATGAATTCTCCTTAGCCAAGGAGACAAAAGAGTAAGTCATTATATTCTGCATGTACATAAGGTATTAAATTGAAACAAAACAAAAAAGAAACACTTGAGCAGAATCCTTTGCATGAGAAATTAGTTGAGACTGACTTCAATTTCAGATTGAAAAGATCCCTAGTTTTGGAACGGATGTGGAATTTGTTATAACTAAATAAGCTGCTTACCTTCTTGCTGGATGCCAAGTTCTCATTCCTAGAAGAGAAGAGGAATACATCAGTGTTGTACAGTCAGATTGAGGGCAGGGTGCAGCTAGGAGAATTTGCCAAAATGGTCACTCACCCAACTCTGTTCCTCTCAGCTGAAGAAGGTCACCATCCCTGTGGCACTGGTGTCATTCAATCAGGAACTGGTGGTGGCTGCTGCAGCTGAAACTGGTTACAGCAAAGCAAATCTTCTTGCATGGCAGATGACTTGTATCCCCTGTCAGCTCCTCCACAAAAGAGTGCAACATTCCCCAGTAGCCATGTTAGATTATCTGACTGAAAGCTTTTCTTGGCATACTTCTGTGGGCTTCTTAAACTATTGGTTCTGTAAACCAGAAAACTTTGGGTACATTTCACAGCAGTCTATAGCTTTCTCCCTCCAAAATTCTACTTCCATTAAAGTTTGCAGTCTTCTTGACTTCCCTTGCTGGCAAGGCAACACACCACTGCCTCTTCGTTGGATTCTTTTTCGCTTTTCTCATTACAAAAAAAAAATGTAGTCTGGCTTTTCCAATCGGTTGCACCTGTGTGAGATTTTTCCCAGGCAGCAAAATCACTCCCAGGAAAATCCTTTTTTGTAACCACTCTGGATACTTCAGCAAAAAAAGTTTCAACTGCAGTAATAACTGTGAATCACGAAATTGGTTTTGGTGATCTTACAGGATTGCTTACAAGTCAACTAAATGTCTAAAATTACTGATAAATGCTTATCAGAGTTAAACTGAATTGAGATTTCAGTTGATTATCCAAAGCCTTGGAGATTTCTTAACTATGCAGAATGTGTTTATTACAGCTATTGACACAAATCAGTTTATCTTGAGCTTATTTCACATAATTAAATCCTTCTAGGACAGATGCTGTGTTTGTCTGAAGTGTCTGATGCACAGTTCTGGAAGATTCGTTTACCCCAATGCAGTTAAATGCTGCTCCAAGTCCAAGTTCCTCTTTGTTGTGACAATGGATGTTTGTCCTTTCTCCATCATTTCTCTCTCTTGAAGAGCCTCTGCATGCATTCCCTACCTCTGCCAAGATTAAGGCATTACCTAGCATAACTGACCTCAGTACAAACAAAATTCAAGGCAGCAGTTTAGGCATGATGAGATTGCCCTGCTAGCAGTGTTTTCAGGAGGGTAATGAAGCTGTTTGCTCCAGGATCCACCAAGGACTGCTGGAAGCTCAGAAGCTTTCCTCAGCCACTGACACAGCATATCCAAATGCACTGGGGCTGTGTGAGCCTTTGGTGTAAGGCGAGCTTAAAGGAAAAGATGAGCTTAAATCTTTTTTTCTAAGGTACATCCTGCAACTCATCGTTTATTTTGAGTACTAACAATGAAGTTATGGAGAAGTAAATATGCATTTCCAAATCAGGGAGAAGAAAAAGGCTCCTCCTAAAAAAGCTGATTTCCTTGGTAATCAGCATTTCCCTATGAAAATTAAAGAACAGCTCTTGAATGAACGAACTCTTCCATCACGACTCCAGAAGTAACTGACCACAAATCTAGTTTAAAGTAGTGGTAGGCTGACTCCCAATGCTGGGATTTATATTTTAATGCCACAAGACCTAAGTTTAAACCCACAAACTCTTTTGGGTCATCACATAAGTGCTTTGCATTTTCAAAAGGAAAGATAAGACCAGGTCCAATGGTCTGTTCTGGCTTTAATAAATAACAGCACTAAAAATCTATGAATCACTCTCCCCTTTCTGAGTCAAAGCTTCCCAGAATCATCCCAAATCTCCCTCCTCCAGCCTTACTCCAATAGAAACCCCCCCACAAAGTGAATTGAGGAAACTCAGTGCTTGATCACAAGAAGTTTTCCCTCCCACACAGCAAGTGTTTTTCCATTCTTAGAAAAATACTGCTTCCTTTCCCTGAATGGAGCACTGCTTTACACAGATACCCCTCCATGTGAACAGGCAGAGGCAGGAACTGTTGTTTCTGGGAAGGAGGGCAGCCTCCCAGTGTGGTGACAGAGCCTGACACAGCTGGAGGAGAGCATTACCTGGAGAAATCATCAATTGTGAATGGACAGTTAGTGACACACGTGCTGGAGCTGTGCAGCATTCTGCAAGGTAATTCTGCAGACCATTTCCCTGGGAAGCACGTTCTGCACAAGCACACACAGTCATCTCCTGGGAAACCTTGTTCTGCTTCATTTCTGATCGCATCTGAAATCCTTAAGTATGTGACCTAGCCTTAAAACAATGAGACAAATCAGGTGAAAACACAGAAAACGGTTACCAGAAACTTATCCATTTCAGCCTTTCTCTGGCAGAAGACTGGGCAGAAACAAAAACAAGTTTTAATAAGACTGAAGATGTCAGGGAAAATCATCCCCAAGAATGGGAGAGGAGCTGGAGTCATAAAGTCAAGCAGATGGCAGAGAATCAGAAAACCCTCTGTTGGGTTCCAACTCCTCAATCAACTTTATATTCTGATGCACATTAGAAAGAGACAGCACTGACACAATCTAGTTGCTCCCTTTATGAGCCAGAAACGATCTCTTACCCTTCTTCAACCTTCCATGATAATCACCCAAGGGGTCCATCACACAAAAAGCAGGATGCCAGCCCCTGTGGGCTGCACAAGACGGGTTTTCCCCACCACTTCTCTGCTCCAAAAGCCAGCCCATAGCATTATACTTCAGTACCAAGTCCTTCCAGGGATTGTGGTGGATTTGCAAGGCAAATACTGCGGTGACTCTGAAATCACCTGCAGTTCTTTGGTGAATTTCAATTCTTGGGAAAGATTTTCGTGTGACGTCTGAGAAGGCATGAGGCCCTCGTGTGCCTCCAGGTCACTGAGCTAAAGATCTGTCTTGTCATCGCTCCAGAGAGACGTAACTGAAAAATCAAGCCAGGAGACCAAGGTTGTCTTTTGACAGCAGAAAAGAAATGCAAACTTCAGCATATGCTGCCAAGCAGATGTGAGCAGTGAAGATAAGGAAAACACCTACAGCATTCCAAATTAGGGTTTAAAGAGAAAGCTTAAACCAATTTCCAATTAAGTCACCAGACGCAGTGAATTAACGCTGGCTCTGACACTGTGACTAAAGGTATGTATGCAAAATCAGCTGGGAAGAGAAGCAGGGTTACTGAGGTTAGCACCAGTTGGATTACTTCTGCAATCTACAATTAATCTTCAGGCAACATGAACAGTGCCAAAACTCCACGTGGCCAGTTAGAACTGGGGAAAGAAGCCAACAAGGGAGGACAGCTGTCCAAAGGGAGCACAAAAGCGGATTCCAGCAGCTTTGCTTGTGGGCTCTGTTCACGCTGCTCAGCTCTGCACAATGCAGCCTGGCAGCCTGACTGACTGAATTAGCAGCTTGTCCCTAATGAGCCTGCCTGACAGTTCAGTATGCTGCCATTAGCCAAGCAGTCAATGAGACCTCGTAGGCCTGCCCCACCGCGTGCTCAAGCGACGCATTTGTCCCTCTCATGGCTATTTCCTTACAGACGGATTAGTGATCCAGCACAGAAGCTTGTGATTTTCTTTCTGCGAATATTTCCAGAGGAACTACAGCTTTAAGCTGAGGGGTAGGGAAGGGACAAGTTCCCAAATCCCCTAGATTTGCCACAAGTAATTCTCATTACTTCTGTCTGAAGAACTGTGCTGAAAAGGGCATAGGAGGGGAATACTACAGAATTCTGTAGCCTACCTCCGAGCACCTCTTTCCTCATTAGCGGGTGTTTGAGTGCTCTTGAAAACACTTGCATGAAAACCAAACAATCAGAGTAAATGCCATTCCAAAATCTACTCTTCCGAATCTCTCTAAACGTGTAACTAAAAGTGTGCAACACTTGGGAAGCATGGGAAAAGCATGGGAAGCTTTCTTCTGACTTGTTTAGCTCCTTCCTGTTTTGCACATAGCAAAGCCTGCTTTAATTATTGTCCATTTCACTAACTCTTGCAAAGTGTGCACCTCAGCCCAGTGTTGGTAATCACAGTGCACACAAAGCAATGCACTATCTGCACTTACAGCCAAATTTGCAGCTCTGCTGTCCAGTTTAGTGAGTTTAGCATTTCTATGAATTAGCACAACTAAGCTCTGGAGAATATCCAGACTTCAGGACGTAATTCCCACACAGCCTTTGGAGAAAGACTTTCAGTACCTTTCCTCCAGGACACAAAAGAGTTCCAGTGACACAGTACAGGATTTTTTCCCCTTCAACCTGATACAGCTTAAAATGGAACACTGCTATTGACTGACGGAAACCACCCCTTCCTTGGGTCATTTTATGCATAATGTTTTGGAATGTATCCAGCTCTATAATGTAAGAAAGTATCCAGAAATAAACCTAGGAAAAAAGCATGAGGAGCCCCAGACAAAAGTGAATAGCACCTTACACTTGTTTTTTAAAATTCATCCCATTTACCACCACATGGCTGGACAACCTCTTACTTCCCAAGCCACAGATTTCCCCAGTCCCGCTGCAGCTCCCATTCAAGGCCAATGACTCAACACCTCAACAGGGAAAACAGTCCAGGCTGAAATTCATACCCAACAGGATGGGAGAATGCTGAGCTCGTTGTTAGGAGGAAGGAAGGCAAACCTATTAGCAGACAGAAAGGAAACACGTTTCAATAAGGCTCTTTTGTCTTTAGAAAAGGGAAAGCAGGCAGCGAAACACATTCTCCCCTCTACACAGTTGTGTTTATGTAGACTTCTTGCTCAGAAAATATCTTTACTTTCTGTAAAAGACTATACAAAGAAAGAAAAAATACAGAACTGCTTAAGAAAATAAACCTCCCAAATGAGGAAAATAACTCAGATCTGTCCTGGAAGAGATCTAAACATTTGCACCTTTCAAGCAAACAGGAAAAGTCCAACAAACAATATACAGGCTAATTTTTACAGCGCATCCCTTGAGCAATGACTGCACATCAGACTGTGTGAGTGGCTGGACACAGATTTGGGGCACTGCTTGGCTGCAGACCCTCTTTGCTCTTCTGTACCCAGCACATAAGAACGGTCGTCCCAGAGCTCTCTCTAGCTGCCTCTGAGACTCCGTCAGCTCACAAGACCCCTTCATTATGTAGCTGTACAGATCGCAAAGGAGAACTCATCAGAGAGTAAGAAAGTGCATCTGGAGAGGATACAGAGGGAAGCTCCCCAAGAGAGGGCCCTCAGCGTGCTGCACAAACACAAGACTTAGTCTTCGATGCGTCCGTCTGCCCCATATTTTAACACCGTTCCAGTAAGCTGGCCCAGAGCCCCAGAGCTGTATGTTGTGCCAGCAGTGCCTCTCGGAAGCAGCGCTGCGGGCTGTGGGGCCGCCCGTCCACACGGTGCAGAGCAGCACTGCTGTGCTGATGTCCCTGCATGCACGCGCCTGGAGAGTATTTCAGAATTGCAGCACCTCCTGCAGCTGCGCCTGTCCATCTGTTTCCTGCTTTTGATGAAAACTCAGCAGCCTGGCTGCACAGGATTTGAGCCTGAACAGGATTTTTTTTTCCCTTTCCTCCTCACTCTATAAGAAATTGGGCGTTAAAGCACAGCTATCAAGCAAGATCACAGAAGACAAAGTATTAGGGGTTATCAGATTAGCTCCCTTCCGTCTGACAGCTCCAGGAATAGGAGCATGACACAGCCACCACCAAATAAAAGCTGTGGTATTTCTGTGCTTCCATTCACAGGTTTCAGGCAAGGAGGCTGTGCACGAGCACGAAGCAGCCCGCAGCGGGCCGTGCCGCAGAGCCCCTCTGAGCACACTGCAAATGCAGCTCAGCCACCATTCGTGCCACCGCACACAATGCACGCTTCAGAAAAGCGCCAAACAAAAGGAGATTTGTGAGATAATGCAGTGGAGCAGGGCTGAATACTTAACATTTTGAGAAAGGCGAGGGCCAGCGAGCGGAGCCGAGGCACACGCTGAACAAAACCTTTCAGGACAGCCTGAAGCTGCCCACGTTACCAGCTACAGGCCTCCACCGCCAGCGTGAACTGAGGCTCGATTGTGCAGTGCAGATCAGAGGCTTTTGCCAGAGTCTAGCAAACTGAAAAGCTTTCTAAGTTCACAGCAGCACGGGTGTTCACTCCTGTGACCTCCTCACCCTCCCCTGGAATAAGGACCTTCAGGAAGAAAAGTGGCAGCCTGAAAACGCAATGAAGAGTGGGACCAGCACTTCTCCAAGAGCAAAACAGTTCCTGATACCACCTGGTGCCCCCATGATTTCTGGAGGATGGTTCTCCTCTGCAGATTTTGGCTTTCCATCGCAGCTGGATAGTTTTCTGGCTACAAAAGGTGATAACTTATTTAGCCTCACTACAACCATTATTTTACATTAGAGTCATCCCCTTATCAATTAACCCTAAATCATACTATTGCTTGAGCTCAGAGAAGCAAATTCTCTTCCCAGCCATGCTCCAAACATCTGGCTTTGGAGCGGGACATCTGCCCAGCACCCAAACTACGCTGATGACGAAGGAGCAGAGCAAGGATCCCACCTGGAACCTGCACTGCTGCTCCATGCAGTGTGTGGCCACACCTCCTTCCAGCCCGATGCTGCAGACTCAGCCCGGCGCCAGCCCTGTGTGTCTGCCATCCTTGGGCAATATACCACTGATTTTGAAGCACTCTCGACTGCAGTCACAGAAAGCAGAGAAAATATTTTGGCCCAGCATCCTCTCATCCATTGCTTATTGCAATGCTGCTCTCCAGGCAACTGTGCTGGCTACAGGCAGAGACAGGATGTAGGGCTAGATGGACCCAATACGGCCGATGTAACAGTTTAAGAAAAGCACTACAAAAAGAAGTATCAATCAACACAGAACCTTTTATTCCACAGAATCACAGAATTGTAGGGGTTGGAAGGGACCTCCAGAGATCACCAAGTCCAACCCCCCCTGCCAAAGCAGGCTCCCTACACCAGGTTGCACAGGTAGGCATCCAGGCAGGTCTTGAACATCTCCAGAGAAGGAGACTCCACCACCTCCCTGGGCAGCCTGTTCCAGTGCTCCATCTCTCACTGTAAAGAAGTTCTTACGCACATTTGTTTATTTCAGTATAGTGTTGGGAACTGTTTGACCTGCAGAAGGTTGGCAATGAGGGCAGATGCAGAGCATGCCCAGCTTCCAGACCTGCGCTGTGCAGTTGGAGAGCAGTTCTCAGTAAGAGCCTCATAAAGCCACACACTGCTCTTTGGTCACTCAGCATTAAATACTCTGCTCAGAAATAGACCTATTTTCAAGTGCAGCTTTTTAAACTGAAGATTATTTCTAAACTTACTGCAGTTTGGCTTACAGCAGTAAGTAGACAAAGTTCCATTTGTACTAATAGATCAGATTACCTCCTCACCATTCACGTATTCATCTGTGTAAAAGGTGCACTTCTCATTTATACCTTCTTAGGGAGGAAAAGAAATTTCTCCAAAGACTTACAGCGAGTATAAACTAAAATTAAAAGCACTTGCTTCCATAGGACTTCATTATCTGGCATATAAACCTCCATTCTGTGATCTCATTAACTTGGATTGGATTTGGGCCAGCTGATTCTGAACAGCTGGAGCCCAGCAGACACCTGCAGCCATTCCTGCCATGGTGTTGTGCGCTCCCTCCCACCTCCCCTTCTGCATGCATTACCACCAGGGCTCAGGCTGGAGAACTGAGAAACAATAACAGGCCAAGGCCCCACCTTATCACTGAAGCGCTCTTAGCAAACATCGGCCTGGGCGCAGCTACACGGGTTTCTTAAGGGCAGTTTTAAAGTTATTTTTACTTAAAGCTTTCCCTCTGGATGCAGAGCCAGCTCTTCCTTGAGCGACTACTTAACTGACTCTTAACCAGTCAGATTAGAAGTCATACCAGTATCAAGAAAAACATTTACTTAATGCTGTAATCTTCTCAAGGGCAGCCGGGAAAGACAGGCAACTACGATGCATGGGTGCCTGCAAGCAAGCATCTGCCCTCCCGAGCTGCCTTGCAATGCGCCTGCAGCTCCGGGCACACAGCCAGTGGGCTGCAGCACTTCGTCAGCCCTCAGTGCAGACAACAAGCCTGCAGCCACCGCTGTGCCTGCGAGCAGCGTCATCTGCAAAGTTACAGACGTGCCTACTTAAAAGCGTGCTATAAAGGCAGCTCCTCAGAGCACTGAGCTGCTTTACACCTTCTAAAGTAATTCCAGCTGCCAGTACAGAAGGGATGCTATTTGTTATCCCATCCTTAGGGATTACGGTTGAATTATTTTGCAGTATATTATCCTCCACCCAGATATTCAGAATCACGCTGCCTGCTTGTCTGTGCAGGAAATAAGAGCTTCAGCTGTACCAAAGAGGAGGGAAATGCAAGCTGTGTCGAGGCTGAACCTCCCCCAGCTCCACTCCCCCCACCCTGAGCTGCGCCATCTCTGTGTCAGCGCTGCTGCGGCTCAGCCAGACACCCAAAGCCTGCTTAAAAACCAAGCAACAAAGATTAGAGATGGAGTGGCTTAAAACTGAAGTTCAGCAAAAACCTTTATGCATTTATCATAAAAAGATAGGCTTCGTGGTCTGTGAGGATATTACTTGGAAAACAATCTGCAACCGTGATGGATTTCCATAAGCTTCTGCAAGCACAGGTCTGTACAAAATGGGATTAATTCAAAACCTTATCAGCAAAAATTCATATGGCCCACTTTGTGGATTCCGCTTTACAGGGTTAAAATGTAAGCAGTCTGGCATACATGGAGGAAAACATTGTTTTTATAACCACCGTTATGATCCTCAGCGTGCAGTTCTGCCCCTAAGCAAGTTTGTTATTTCATTGTTAATAATAAAGTCCTAAAGGAAAAGTCAAAGGAAACAAAAGGGGGGAAAAAAAAAAAGGAAACCTTGAACTATTTTTTTAATTTATCTTTTCTGCTGACATTTCCAATTCACCAAATAAATACTTCTTACATTCCTTAAGCAAAATGATATTTAATCTATGGTTCAATTTTGAGATACTATGGATCTTAGTTCCATCCCCCTTTTCTATCCGTAGGCAAAAATACCCTGAACAAGTGTTTAATTTTGTTGCTGGTGAAGGAAATGCAGAAATGCCCACGGAGGCCCCAGCGGTGAAGCACAGCAGCTCGTGGGCAGCGCTCAGCTGAACCCTGCGGGCGCAGATGGCTCTCCCTCACCCTCAGCATGGCTGCTTTGACAAAGACATCAGTGACAAATAATTCCAGTTCTCTGAAGCCTCACCAGAAGCTTGCAAAGGGCACTGAGCACATGCTAGCTGGCTTCAGCAGGCTGATGCGAGTTTATACAGTTGAGACTTCAGAAAGGCCTCTTTCAGTTCAGCTGAAGATAGGCAAGACTGGTGAGGACCCACGCAGATTTTCTCTCAATACAACAGATTCTTCTGAAATTACAATTCAGTGCTACGAATTCGCTAAGAGAAAAACCCTGGAATATTCTGGGTCTTCTTCAGTGTTATTAGCTGCATTAATCCAAAAAAACACAGCAAGGCAACTTTTATGGCCATCCTACTTTACTCACATCCCCATTATGAAGTTTCAGTTCATAATTCAAGAGCCAACGAAAGCAGTCAGGTTTCGCCTGAGGATGAGCTAATTCCCAGCCTTTCCTTGGATGAGACCCAAGCACTAAAAAAGGGTAAAAAGACATTTGTCCTATTCAGGAGTTTTCAAGGCCTGTGAATATCAGAGATCATCACATCCTCTCTGTGCGAGGTCCATTCACAGGATCCATTGAGGGGTAATGGAAAAGGCTAAAGCTCGAGCCAACATTTACAAAGAAGATAATTCGAGTCTAATTGAAAGGTAATCCCAATCACATCTTGCCCTGGATGTTCAATGGAAAACAGCCCTTCCTTCCATTTCCTTAATAAATCAAAAGTGGACGTAACATTCAGTTAAAAACAGATCCGCTAAGATTATTAACACCCAAAGCTGAAGTGACCTTACATGTGCAGGTGTAAGTAAGATCAAGCTAGCTAAATTCATAGAGGTAAACATTGGGAAACTTGAGAAATCCAAATTAATCAAGGAGAAAGAAGCACTGAATCAGTAAAACATACAAATAACATACTGGCAAAGACAATCACAGGGGAAGATATTCACAAAGCAGTTTTCTAATGGCAAACTGAACACGAACATGACATTACTGTTCACAGAAACAAGCTTAACTGTAAGAACAATTTCAGATATTCAAACTGGTCACAATTTACTCAAGTGAAATCTGAAGACCCTATAGAAACTTAGACTGTAGATCAGCTGCTTACAGTCCTAAACACGGTATGCCTAAGTCTTGCTCCAAACTTCACACACAACCAGACATGGTTACATGTGTCTGGCTCAGTACTGCCTCTGACTAATGCAACTGTTTTCTGAAGCTGAAGTTAAGAACAAGCATTTTGCTTCAGGAGGTGTGTGCTGAACCTGACCTTTTTTTTTTTTCTTTTTTTTTTTGCAGTTTCTGGTTCTTATTCAAAAGACAACTTGATTGATTTGCCTCTCATTTTCACAGATATTCTTTGACACATAAGCATGATAGAGGATGAATGAATACATTTGCCAAGGCTGCCTGCCTTGAGAAGAAGAAGTGGTACATGGCAGACAAAAAACAATGCACAGACAACCATCAAACCTTTGGTAAAGAGAAGCAATACAAATGCTCTGCTTGCAAGTCACAGTCCTTCTCCTTGGCTCACGCAGGATGCGTTACAGCAGCCCAGCCATGTGGGGTTCCCATTTTTCACTCCCCTCTGCTCCAAAGGGAGAGGAATATCAGAATTCCTTAGAAAATAACATTTGTTGTAAAGCAGAGCATAAGCCCAGCAGGCTCAGTCTGCTGTCTCTAACAGTGGCCAACAGCAGATGCTTACGGAAAAGTAAGGACTATTCATTCATCACATTTTATCTATTCTGTCACTTTGCGTCACTGATGGTAAGGCTCAGGGCAGGCACCTATCAAGATCATAATTTAGCACCAACGATAAAATTTTCCATTCTCATTCACAGGAAGTCTGTAAGAAATTCAAAGCAAGACATAAGGAGAAGGGCAGGTACATCTATCAGCTGCGCTTTTGGTCGAATGCGCTTTTTTCATAAGGCTGGATTTGATGACCCGTGAAGTTCCTCAATGCAATAATATCAAATCACAGAGCGCCTCATCTTCAAGCTCTCTCAAGTTCAAGCAGTCAGACAAGCCCCAAAGAAAAACAACCCAAGGGTCAGAGCTATATTTCAGAGAAAATTTGCTTGACATCTGAGGTAGCCTCTTGACTTCATCACTTAGTTCCACTTGACATCCTCAGTTATTTCTAATATCTCTTAGTACATGTTGTTTTAGAAATATATGTGTGTGTGTACATTTCATGTATAAAGAGGAAAATATGACAAGAGTTGCAGGAAAATGATATTGCAGTCCCCTAGCAAGCTGAGGTTGTATGAACTAGAAAAAGATACTACTGATGAATCAATAATCAATAATAGCTATAGAGATTCATCTATTCATGGGTGGACAGAAGGGAGCTGACTAAAAGCTAGTGTTGAAAGAAGTGTGATATAACTTCTGACTCAAAAAATGGCACACACACACACACACACAAGAAAATCACTTCCACATGCAGGAGAAGGGAAAATAAGTGAGTTCTGCTAGCAATCTCATTTCATAATCACGCTTCAGTAGACTGCACAGAACAGAACTGAGTTATTTACTCTAGTAATAGGGAAAATGAAAAAAAACAAAACCAAAAATGACTTCACAGGCACAGAAGGGAAGAATTTTGCATCCGTTATCCTCTCATGAGTTCATCCCTC